AAATTCGATTTCAAAGTTATTCAATAAATTAGAGGGATATTAGCTTCATAAGAATTTATGTATGTAATAATCATAAATGTAACGAAAAAAGCATTTTCCATAAAAATTAAATACAATTCTTTCTTAAAATAACTAAACTAGTTATTTACCTACAAACAAATCTTTGTCCATGAGGTTTGGAAGTTCTAGAATTCCATTTCGTATTGGTAAGTTCCCCAAATTCCATTACCCACTTGTTGCAATCGTCTAAATTTAGAACATTGCTTCTAAGGGTAATGGTATTTGAGGAAATATTTTTTACTTCATTTTTAAATGAAGAAGGCAGTTTCTCTGTTGAAAAAACTGACATTTCAAGTTTGTACACAAAAGCTGGAGTATAGAAATCACTCTATGCTGAAAATAACAAGCATGGCAGAATGAAATAGCCATACGTCACAGATGGCGTTGCCGAGAAAGCCAATCAGCGCGCTCAAAATCTCTTGGGGATACTATGTGTGTAAAGAGAGTTTACATGCTCCCGGGCAAGGCATGGATGTTTCTTTCTCCCTATTTGTGTTCTATGTGCTTTCTCCTTTGTGTGTGAATGTGACCCGCCCTGTAAACGGGTGGTGGTAGTGTGATGTGGGCGACGTTCCTAAACAGCCGTGACTTCGCCACAGGTGCCCACTGGGTAACGAAAAGAGAGTTAGCAGTTCTGGCACTTTTTATGGCCAATGGACAATAGTTCCAAGTGCCCGCCATTAAAAAAAAATACTGCAGGTATCTATAACTTTCCTATCTGTAAATATTCTATCTGACTACCTACAATTCCTAGAAAAACTTAATTGCGGTTACAAAAAAGGAGTAATTTTAGCCTCCAATCCTAAAAATCGTTTATAACCGTTTCATTAACTTCAAGAAAAAAAAATCCAATCGAGGGTTTGAAAGATGACTCTTTTTGCATTACTCTTTATTATAAATGAAACTGTGAGAGATACTGATTAAGATTTTATTGCACGCTCTTTAATATTTAATTTTTTCATATGATCAGCAGTCAACGTGAACAGCGTGTCGATCGATGCTATGTTACTGAATCAGTATTCCTGAAAGTGCATATCTATTTTGGTTATAGTTATGTTTCTAAACCGTGTTTTCATCGAACTAAATAATTTAAAATCGACGGATATTGAAAAAGAAAAGAAAAATAAGTGTAGTAAAAAGCAAAATCAATAGAGAAAAAGTACTGATTCAATATAGGAAGCCGTAAACAAGTCATCTTTTAAATTCAATTAAAACTTTCATCAAATTCCTGGAAAGTATAAATTTTTACAATGACGTCTTTTATTATTTTTTGTAGAGTAGTTTAATTAGTATTTTTTAATTAACTGATAATTTGATTGCTATTCTAACACTAAATAATCTCTATTTTTAGATTTTATCTACTCCATTTATCAACACTGTTAATAATAGAAAAGATAAACAGATTTATCTAAGCTTTTTTTTCTAGTTTTCCCAGTTATACTTTCAACTTCTCTAATTATACTTTCACTTTCTCTAGTCATACTTTCAACTCTCAAATACCTTTCACTTTTTGTCGAGTTTTAAGGTCATGCCAAATTTAAAAAGATGATAAATTATTGGAAAAAAAAATAAAATGAAATTTTTTAAAGACTTTTGGAAACCTACAGTATGAAAACGAAATAGAACAGTTATAACGAAAGCGTAAAAAAATTCAACGATGGACTCGGGAATATAAACAGTTTAATTCCTACCGCTGATTTATTCTAGTGTCAGTAAATAAGAAATAGAACATTCTGGGTCACTATGAAGATCGAAATGTCACCGACACTTTTTTCTGAGCTCATGTCTCATTTTGCAGAACCACAATGCCTGGGTGCATACACCACAAATTCTGACTAGTTTGTTTAAAACATGGGGATTAAAATTTCTGATAGAATCCATCATACTTTCAGTATTTAGGACATTATGAACTCGATTTCACTCTCAGGATGAAGGAATAACTATATAACTACTTGCTTCCGAAATAGTACAGATATTCTTAAAACCATGAACCGCTCCATAGGAATGGTAAATAAACTGACCCACAGAAAAGTATCCTACGACCTCTACAGCTCTGGCAATAGGTAAAGGAAAGCTTTTGACTACAGTGAAGGACAGGGAAAGAGAGTTCGCTTTTCAATGAGGTGAACCGGGTTCGAATCCAAGAGACAGTTTGTCGATACGAGTTCCTCATCCAGCTAGCACCGACGATCATGGGTTAGAATCCTTTTGCAATCAGGCAAACTCTTGGAGGTTTTCGTAATTTTCTTCTCCAATAGTTCCAACAAAAAGTAATCCACGAAGGCATATTTCACCTAATACTTGATCCAGGAATTCCCTTGTCTTCTGGATTGGTTTTAAAATTACACGGCTTCGGAGTCGAACATTAGTAGTCGTAAACCTAATACATTGAGTCGTCTGTTCAACGACGGTTATAAAATAAAAGTACTGCGTTCTTCTTCAGCTCAGCAGCACTAAGAAAGGAATATAGAGCCGTGTTCATAGAATTAGTCATACATTTAATGACGTACCAAAATGAAAATTCTCAACGTTGTTTCATCTTTATGCGTTTGATTTTCTTCGAAGACAAACGATAGAAAACCTTTAATATAGTTCTTACAAACAAAATATCTATTTATAATGTTATATGCAGTTAGCTATTTTAAATTAAAAAGTAACTGAAATCTATTTCACCAATTGAACTTTCACAATACCTGCCTGCCAAGATGCTGCAAAGTTAGGGGGAAACAAACAGTCGTTTCCCCGATTAAAGTTCCATCTCTCGTATGATAGAGAGAAAGTGAAAGTTTACATATATATATATATATATATATACACACACACACAGCCCTAGTAACACAGCCT